TCTCTTATGTCCACCACGCAGAGCCGCCCACCCTGGATGAACTCTGGCCCTTCAGAGAGTCGGCCCTACCATGGCATGCATGGAGGTGGTCCTGGTGGGCCCGGAGGTGGCCCCCACAGCTTCCCACACCCATTACCCAGCCTGACAGGTGGGCATGGTGGACATCCCATGCAGCACAACCCAAATGGACCCCCACCCCCTTGGATGCAGCCGCCACCACCACCGATGAACCAGGGCCCCCACCCACCCGGGCACCATGGCCCTCCTCCAATGGGTAAGTAAGTGTCAGACCAAAAACCTTGGGGTTTTGGGTAAGGGGTTAGGTCCGGTTCTGCAAGCTGTGGTCAGCAAGTACACAAAGTGTACCAGCCTTTCCAAAGCTCAGGCTCTAGAATAGGGCTTTCCCAGCAGCAATCAGGTGCTTTCTCTGAGGGCAGGATGCTGAGAACTTGATCTGTGGGGCCAAGGAAGCTATTTGGAGGTGTTTTTCCTGGATAGTTCAAATGTCCTGCTAAGTCCCTGCTCTTTCCTTCCATCAAGATCAGTACCTGGGAAGTACGCCTGTGGGCTCTGGGGTCTATCGCCTGCATCAAGGAAAAGGTAACTGCTGGCTTTGTGTGCATACTTAGACCTGGGGAGGAGTGGGGTTTTGGTCCAGGTTCCTTCCTTCTTGGAAGCCTCACCAGGTTCTACCTAACCGCAGGTATGATGCCGCCGCCGCCTATGGGCATGATGCCGCCACCGCCGCCGCCTCCCAGTGGGCAGCCCCCGCCCCCCCCCTCTGGTCCTCTTCCTCCATGGCAGCAACAGCAGCAGCAGCCTCCACCACCCCCTCCGCCCAGCAGCAGTATGGCTTCCAGTACCCCCTTGCCATGGCAGCAAAGTGAGTGGAGTATTTTGGGCTTGTGGGGGTGGGTGGGACTGGGTATTTGGGCTGAGAGGAACAATAGAAACTCACAGCTCATGGGGCAGAGAGACCTTGAGGTGAAGGGGGGGTGGGAGGGGCAGGGGCAGGCGCAGGCTGGCCCATGGGGGCTTAATGGGGAGCAAAGCTGATGTTTGGTGTGGTTGTGTCTGGGGGGCCTGCAGGGGAGCCTGCAACTGTAGGGAGATTGCCAGAAGTCCAGCCTTTGGGCAGCAAAGTGAGCTGCTGGCTGGCCGAGCCTTGTGCTAGGGCCAGAATGGGATGGTGCATGCATGTTCTGGAGGGCTGTGATTGGTCCTGAGAGACTGCAGAGATAGAGCCAGGCAGTGGGGAGAGAGCCATTGTGGCCTTGAGGTTGAATGTGCCGTTCGGTGGTGGCGGCGGCTGGGCGGAGGGATGTCAGAGCCGGTTCTTGTGTCTGGTACTTTCCCCTCAGCTCCTCCAGGGGCATTGGTGACAAAGGGCTTACTCTGTTAAGCCCAGAGACCTTGAGGCTGACCCCAGGGTAGTCCTGCCCACCCCTCCACTCCCCATCACCAGGACAGCCCCGCCCGCCCGCCCCCGCCACCGTACAGCATGCCAAGCCAGGAGCAGGCGCCCCTCGCCCCATTCCAAGGCAGCAGCCGCAGAGAGCCGCGGTGTGCCCCCGCGCGTGTGACCTTGGGCTTCTTTACCACCCCAGATACGACGACTACCACCACGAGCGCTGGCACAGGGTCCATCCCGCCATGGCAACAGCAGCAGGCGGCTGCCGCAGCTTCTCCAGGAGCCCCTCAGATGCAAGGCAACCCCACTATGGTGCCCCTGCCCCCCGGGGTCCAGCCGCCTCTGCCGCCCGGGGCCCCTCCCCCTCCGCCGCCTCCGCCACCTGGTTCCGCCGGCATGATGTATGCCCCACCCCCTCCTCCGCCTCCCATGGACCCTTCTAACTTTGTCACCATGATGGGCATGGGGGTGGCGGGCATGCCGCCCTTCGGGATGCCTCCAGCTCCCCCACCGCCTCCACCACAGAACTAGACTCTTTTTTAAGAAAATATATATTATATATAGAAAGAATTGGTCTCGTTTAAACACGCCGAACCTCACCATATGGAGCCAGACATTGGGACGCACGCATGTGATTGTGTGTGCACGCATGTGTGTGTGTTCACGCACTGAGCTGGGCCAAGCGACCAAGGACTCGCTTGGGAATGGGCAGGTGGTAGTAGGGGCGCCAGTTTGGGTTCTCCTGGCGCCCCGTAGCATCGAGTGTCTTCTTTGTCTTTCTCTCCTCACCCAACTCCCTTTGCCTCTCCCCAAACTGGGCCGCCAGGATCCCTCCCCGCGGCGGCGATGGCCCGAGCCATGAGAGTGAGGACTTTCCGCGCCCATTGGTGACCCTTCCAGGCAGACAGCCTCAGCAGCGCCCCTGGTGGACAGGATGGTTCGGCAAAGCAGCCTGAGTTATTTTTGTGGACGGAATCGGAACACGCTGGCTCCATATCGTGAAATTTTTAATTAATTTTTTTCTTTTTCCTTTGTTACTTTCTTATCTCTTACTTTCTTCAGACTCCGTCCAAGGAGGTGCTTTCCCCGATCTTCTGCTGCAATTAGAATCCTTTCCCTTCACTCCATTCTCCCTCCCCTGCCAAGGAGAGAGGAGCAAATGGTTTTAGGCACAGGCTTCAGCCTTAATGTCAGGCTACTTGGGCAGGTGATGTCCTTTGGTTCTAAGTTTTTCCAGGGACCATAGCCAGCCCCAGAGATGTTCGTCTTTTTAAAGTATGGGGTTTATCTTTGTCACTCTTGTCAAAGTTGCCTAGGGCTGGTTAACTGCCAGGCCCAGCACCTGCATCCATCCAGCATTCCTGCCAGCGGTAGGTGGTACAGCCCAAGCCACCTTGGACCTACCGGCTCAGAGTCATTTCTGTGCTCTGACCACCTAAGCTGCCAGATTCCATTTGTTCCTCTCCTTCCTGGAAGGCTTCCTTTACATTTTATTTTAATCCCAAATGTCTGAATGTTTTGCAGTGTCAAGGGCTTTGAGCCCCTTGTTCCTCTTTCTGTTCCCCACCCTTCACCCTTCATGGAGTGATTATGTTAATGATGTGTAACCCGCGTTCTCTTCACTGGTTTATCTGCAGAAATTCTCTGGGCTTTTTTTTTCGGTGTTTGATTCAACACTGCACTAAAGGGGGGATGTTCCATTGAATAAAAGAGCAGTGTGGTTTTTCTGGGTCTGTTTCTTTACTTCTAAACCTCCACTTATGGGCCAGGGAGATAGCTCAGTAAAATAAGTGCTTGCCTGACAAGCACAGGGTCCTGAGTTCAGTCCTCAGTACTGCAAAAAAATAAACCTCCATTTTCTACCACCCATAGCAACACCAACATTGTCCTTATATTGGATACCTGGCCCCTGCTAACCATGGAGCAAACCATGGGACATTAGTCGAGGAAGCCAGCTGTCCTTGTGTGGCCTGAGTTGGTGGGAGCTGAGCTTGTGGGTGTACTACTATCCTTGTGTCTAGTTCACATAGCTGACAACCAGGCTCCCCCCTCCTTGGTCACCCCTTATTTTCTTGGTCTCTGACCTTTTGAAAGCTTTTGCCCAGGGCTTGGACCCCCACATTTGATGAGCTCCAGTTGTGATTTGTGCCTGCAAGCTGCCACCTGACTAAGGTCTTGGGCCTGGGGAGGCATCAACACTAAAGGTCAAGCCAACTAATCCTGCCTGTCAAGCACAGAGCAGCTAAAATTAAAACCGCCAAGTGGCTTTTTTCTTTTCTCTGCTGGTGACCTGCAGCCTGCCAGCACTGCAGGCTTTGGGGGAGGTGTGGGGGTGAGATTCAGAGCCCACCTTGTGCTTTGAAGCACTTCTTTATAAAGGATCTTTGACTGATTGTTTTTTCTTTGGGGCAGTGGATATTGTACCCATTGTGATACATCCATGTTAAATCTATGAGGTAATGAGGGCCTTGGGCAGTTCCAGCTGCTGCTGCTTGGCTGTGCCATCCCTGGAAAGAGCTGCTTAAGAGCTGCTGTTACAACACACACACACACCTCTGCCTTTGCTTCCTTCAGGGATGCTGAGGGACAACAGGCTCCTGCTGCTGCTGGCATTTGGCCACTAGGGACAGCAACTTTGGCTTGGGCTGCTTTCCAGCTTTGAGCAGGGAGTTAGCTACTGTTCAGTTGGAGCCCAGCCTGGGTGCCTGGGCCCAGGGTGCTTGTGGGCTGCAGGGCTTGAACCTTCAGAGGCATGGCAGATTTGGTGGGGTTCCCTAAGGATGCTCCAAACTGAAGGGGTGGAGGGAGATTTCTTTTGTCTTTAACTAGTGGGGTTGGGGCAGGACCTGGCTGTCCTCTTTGACCTTGGCTTTACTTCATTCTTTCGCAAGCTTGGTTTCCCAGGTGGGCTCATTGGGTGGTTAATTAGCTCTTTGAAGCTCTGGAAACAGCAAAGTGGCACTATGTGGGTTTTAGAAATAAAATCAATAAATGACTTAACCACAGCCCAGCTATCTCCTCTGTCTGTCCCCTGGGGCCAGCTCCATTCCTGTGCTCCCTCCTCTGCTCCCTACCAGCAGCTTTTGTTAGATTTTGGAGAGTTAAAAAGTGCCTGAGAAGGCTACAGTCTCTAAGCTGCCTGAAGCCCTGAAATGGAAGCTATTGCACCTCAGAGATAAAGAGTAGGCACATGCTGTGGAGGAGCAGGCACCCCTACTTGGCCTTGGGTATAAAAAATGCCTTCATCTCATTGTGACTGGGGGAAAATGCCCTCATCTCATTGTTAAAAGATGGACTTGCCCCATACAGTTTGTGCTGCTGTAGCAGTGCCCACCCCTCTAAGCTTGGTGGGGCTGTGCCAGTTTGGAAAGGTCAGTATGAGAGCTCTGTTACTGAGACCCAGCCAAATGCTCTACAGAAACCCAAGATTGGTGCAGAAGGGGAGACCAAGTTTCTGGTTAGAAACTTAACCGGATATAAACAACCTTAAGTTTGTGCAGGTGGAAACGTGCTGTTAGGGTTTATTAAAATAAACCTCTGTGGGGGTGGGGCAGTGGAGGAAGTTGAGAGCCAGGATGCAAGCTTGGGTCTCAGGTTTAGACTGGGTGGTGCAGGATGGAGGAGAAATTATGGGGTGCTCCCAGCGAAGAGTTTGCAGACAGTCACGTGGTGACCATTGGCACAACACTGAAACACAAGAAAGCTAAACCTGGAAGGCCTGGTGGGTGGTGCATGCCTGTAATCCCAGCACTCCAGAGGCTAAGGCAAGAGGTTGCAAGTTTGAAGCCAGCTTGAAGTACAGTAGTGAGATGTATAAAGCATGAATAGCAGGTGTGCATACCTGAAATACAGCTTTTGGGAGGTTGAGGCAGGAAGATCAGTGTGAGGCCAGTCGACCACATTAGACCTCTCAAAACAACACAAGTAGCTCCCATGATGAGGCTGGGATGGCTGGATTACAGCCTGTAATATGGAAGGGAGGTGCTGAGGTGACAGTAGAGGAGGGGCTGGTGGCTTGGAAAGGAGTTTAACTTGGTCTCCAGTTGGCAACAGGACAATGAAGTCTGGGAGGCAGTAGGAGAAGGTACACAAGTTTGGATGAATGGGATGGCTTCTCTCCCGAGAAATCTGAGCTCGGATCACAGCAACCTTCTAGAAGCCAGTACAGGCAGGGCCACTGCAGAGGCTAGGTGCTTGGAGGGTATGGCGTGGCAGAGGCTGTGGGTGGAGCTAGGAAGTGCCCAGACAGCTGCCAGGCATTCTTTGTGGAAATACAATTATAGGGCTGTGCGGTGGAGCCCAGCAGTCCTGGTTCCATCCCTAGCAAGGGCAAACAAAGAGTACAGAAAAGTTGTTCCTGTTCCCACTACAGCTGCAGGCATCCTTCAGGGTTGTCTTGGTTTATCCTTGTGGAAACCCAGCCCCAAGTAGCTCCAGCCAGCGACGTGTGGGGGCAGGGACGTGGGGGCGGGGGCAGCAGGAGTGGAACAGAGCCTGCAGATTGGCTCACACCCAGTGGCTGGGGCCGGGGCCGGGCCGGGGCGGGGGCCGGAGCCGGAGCCG